CCCGACGCTATACCACCATGCCACGAAGACAATGTCAAACCGTGAGTAGTCGCTATGTGGCATTCAATGTTGTGAGCGATTTAATCAGCATGACATGACCAGGCCGCCTACGGCGCACCGGGCCAGTCGGCCGGGCCTGCGGCGAGGCCAGTCACGTGACCAGTTGGCGGTGAGGGACGGACCCCGTCCTGTAAATGCAGGGGAGGAGTCGAGGAGAGGCCGGGGGAGAGGCGGTCACCGTCCTTTGCGATGACAATAGACGTGTGGTCAAAGAAAGCCGTCCCACCCGCAGAGGATGTTATGAATATTGTTAAAATTGCAAAGCGGCAAACTCATCAGAACATGAGTGGTGCAAATCATTCAGGTTTTTACGGAGCGAGCGAAGCGAGCGGAGTCCTTCCTTAGATTAAAGGGACCCTCCCACCTTCAAAAAAGTTAATGAATTGGCATGAAAGTGATGTCGCTCGGTTCAGAAAGAGCAAAAACGAATATCTACCAAATTTCATCGAAAAATATTCACCGGTTTTCAAGATATTAGACTTTTACTTTTGTTTACTTTTTGGGATCTCCGCTCTTCCTAGCGACTTTATTTGAAAGTGCGGCATTTGTTGCGCGCAAAGCAGCATATACCACCGCGTGCTACAAAACGTTTTAGTCAAGCATTTAACGGACGTTCGAAAGCCTGATGACGTCATCAGATTCCCGTAATGGTTAAGAGATAGGGACCACGCTGGTCCCACCCTGCAAGTAAAGGGAAGAAATTTCTTGAACACCATAAAGCTGCGGGGGTTGCGACCAGGATAAATGGTGGTTTCTGAGCCTGGCCGCAAACTTGGCTATCTCAACTCAAAACTAATGTTAAGGTGGGAGGGTCCCTTTAACGGAAATTTCTGAGTATGAGCGGCCGGCCGGCCGTGGTCACGATTTTGCGACGCTTATATCTCAGTCCCCAACCGGTCCCCAACCGTGTACCAAATTTGATCGCAATCGGCCCAGCCGTTCTCGAGATCTGGAAGCGCCCCTGCACGTGCGCACGTGCAATAGCACCCTAACCGCAACGTATGGGAATGCATTGCCTGGTGGATGCCTACTAGAGTTGCAAAGTTTTCCCAATGGGCTGCTACCGGCACCGCCCCGCCCCACAAACATTTTCTGGGATACCGGCATGCTACCACGCCCCAAGCAAAAAAAACCGCCAAATTACCGGCATACTAAAAAACCTGCATTCTTGATTCTGGCTTACTCCTACATGAGATGCCACATTTTGGCAATTTCAGTAACCGCCCCACCCAACAGCCACCCATTGTCCAACTTATTACAATTCAATAGCCTCTTAGTGTCCAAAGTTTGAATCATATGCTGATAATTTTTTTGTGCAAAATCAAAAATACCGGCATGCTACCGGCAAGACATGCCAGATACCACGAAAAAACCTGCGGTAGTGAAAAATTACCGGCATGCCGGTAGTGCGGTAGGGAAATTTTGCAACTCTAATGCCTACCTGTATGCCAAGTTTCAGCGAAATCGCCCCCGTAATTACCGAGCTATTGAAATGGGAACAAATTTGGCACCTCTTCTTTTTGCATTTTGTACGTGTAGTGGAGGTCACTCACATATATCAAGAGTATCCGAATTTGGGTAGAAGGGATGCAGTTACCCTACAAAAATTACCGCAAGATAATCGCCCAAGCGGCTGCTGAGATATGAGCCTTTCAAAATCACTTCTTTTGCAAAACAGCTTGAACACCCTTGACTTTTCACGTGGCACGTGCCACGACGGTCACTGAGATGTATCAAAAGTAGTCCATTACGGGGAAGAAGGGATGGGGCTACCCAGCAAAAAAGACCGCAGGCTAATCGGTCCAGCGGCTGCTGAGATATAAACCTCTCAAAAGCGTTACAGGCCGGGCAGGGCCGGGCCGGGCCGGGCCACTCATACTGAGATTTTTCCGTTACATTGAAAAGATTTCGCTTCGCTGGCTGCGCTCGCTCGCTCGTAAGAACGCCAATGTGAGAAGTGGGGCATTCCACGATAGATCGTACCACTTTTTCAAATTTGACACCCTCATCTCTCGGATTTTAACGATAATTGGTCTAAGGCAGGGGTCGGCAAATGGTGGGGCATGCCCCCTTTGGGGGTAATGGAGCCCTTTCGGTGGGGTAATGAGGGATTCTGAGAAAACCTATCTTTTTAGAGTTAGGGCCTCCATTGATGGAACCATCGTGACTGTTGCATCCCAGGGTTAAAAAATTAGCCCAGGTCAAAGGCACAGCACACATTGATAAGATACCAATTTTCACATAGCTGCTCGCCTCACCATCCCACCGCGGTTCCGTACAGTCGTACAAAAGCAGCTGCAATTTTTAGCCGTCGCCCGTCTGTTGGCGCTTCCACAGCCGCTAGCGTAAGGGAGAGAGAGGAGTCGATCGGACCCCCGCGGCCTCTCGGACTCTGAGATGGAGCTGTGCATAAAAAGACGAGCGTATTAGCCGTGACTATAGGAAGCCGCTGCTGCCCATTTTTAAGGTCTTTGGTCATTTCGTGTCATTCCGGAGGTCAAAGACAAGTGTCGAGAAAATCGGGACCCGCTATAACTTCTTGAAGTGAGATTTTATGGCTCAAGCTGACCTCCAGAAAAAGCTCATAAGCCAATGATCATTATGGGTCCAGAGGCCAGTTTTACCGACAGAAAAATAGCTGCCTGCCGGAATTTTTCGCCTTAAGACCGCTTCACATACGGAGCGTAAACGGTAAAGCCCTATCCACTTACATGCTCATCGCGCTTACGTACGCGCTTACATCGCGTATGTGAAGCCAGTGATTACGTAAACGTAAACGTAAACGGTAAAACCCTATCCACTTACATGCTCATCGCGTATGTGAAGCGGTTTGTAGGCAAAAACTCCGGCAGGCGGCTATTTTTCTGTTGGTAAAACTGGCCTCAGGAATTCCCGGGCAGGTTAAGAAAAAAATGATTGGCTCGAGGGTACAATTTGGTCGTGATCCAACGGCTTTTACGTGAGCTTTTAACGAAAAACCACCCGCCGCCCCTATATGTACGAGGGTTAAATGGGATATACTAAATGCTTTGTGGAGGAAGTGTCATGTTTTAAATTTGATGCATTGGAAATGCAGAAATACCCAAAGAGTTCCAGAAAGGTATGGAATTTCAGTAAACTTGGTTGTGACAGCAATGGGGTCTGGTAGGTGGGGGTAATGGCCATGCCTGGCGCCTAAAAAGGGGGCACAACCCCGAGTCACCTGCCGACCACTGGTCTAAGGGGTAATCAGGGGCTCTGAATCCTCCTGTGACAATTTCAGGCTTATCAGATGAGAAGTTTTTGAGTTATAGTGTATAACATGTTTTGGACCTTGCGTTGCAGCGCCAAGTTTGGCGGGCTGTAACTGTAAGACGGATAATCCAAATGCCAAATGCTATACGGCATTGAACTTGCATTGAAACAAAGAATAATATCAATTTTTAAAATTTTGAAATATAAACTATTTTTGATATATAACACCTCGAGCTTCCTTTCATTTGCATTTTCAAACTTTTGGGACCAATTTTTTTTTTTGAATTTTTATTTTCTTAAAAACATTTTTGGATCATTATTAAGTAGTGTGCAAAAAATTAGGAAGGTGTTCTTTCTATAAATGTACTTATTTTGAGTTACCGTAATGGTCTCAAATTGTGATTTCGATAAGAGGGCCTACAAATGGCGTGGTAAGGCTACCCAGTAACATCACTGGTTACTGAAAGTTCAATTGAAGTCATTTGTGCCTGACTTTTGCATTGTTGACCTTGCGTGACGTCATTCGTACGTCACTAGGGTCATAAGAGTTTTTCGTCAATAACTCGATCAAATGGAACTAGAGAGACGGGAAAGTTACCAATGGACTCGGGAAGACCTTGCGAATCGAATGATGTGCAATATGATCTCATTCACCCAGCTTCGTGGCCTGACCCGACTGTTAATTAATTAACCATCTCTGTGGCGGCGCTGTTTGTCCAGCGCCGCGCTGGTTGGCTTTGCCGCGGACTCGGGGCGGTCACGTGATGCCGGGGGGCTGGCTGCCGGCTGGGCCGCCCGGTCGGGGAGCGGAGCCAAATACACGGCAGTGTGCTGACCCAAGGTCAGCGACTTATGCTGACCTCACCAGAACAAACAGTACACCATTCGACGCGCCGGAGCTAGGCAAACACAAAGATGCTAAAATCGCGGCTCTGCGACCATTTGTTGCGAAGTTGTCTACCAAAAACCGGACCCGTAACTTGGGTCACTTGAAATGACCTCGGGGTTCACTAATGAACCCGAGACCTTAAAATGTGGTATCATTCGATGCATCTTGTAACGGCGCACATGCTCGCTTTTTCCGCAAGGTTCTAGCTCCATTAGAGGCGAAACGGCGAGGTGGAGTCGTACCGATCCCCCGGAAACCCATTTTGTATGCATTAAAATGAGGAACTTATAGAAAGAACACCTTTCTAATTTTTTGCATGTCGATGTTAAATGACCTGAAGTTTATTTTGAAGAAATAAAAATGGCAAAAATGTTGGTCCCAAGGGCCATTATAGACAATTAAAAAAAAAAAAATATTACGACTTTTTTCAATATGTAAAGCTTTTCTTTCCAATTTAAAAAAGCTGTATTAATCTCTGAGTCATCGTTAGTTCAAAGCTGTTTACCGTTTGTTGCTTGCTTAGCTCGTTTTTAAGTTATATCTCATCAAACTCACCCTTAAAATCTGAAGTTTAGAAAATATTATGCAATATAACTCAAAAAGTTTTCATCTGAGAAGTCTGATATTTTGGCAGGTGTTTTTGGAGCCTATGATTAGGTACCAATTTTCATTCAAATCTGAGGGATGAGGGTGACGGGCCTGGTACGATCTATCGTGGAATAACCCCAAGTAATAGAGAATCGTTAGATGAATGGAAATCATTGCTCTCGTGCTGGTATTCGGGGACGGGGACAGTCTCATCTTTCAAACTCCACCCTCTGGTCTATGTACCTGCTAAATTTATTTTGTTACAAAGAATGTCTTATACAATATGCAAGCTGGGCATTTCCCCGCCGACCGGCCGTCGATTGGCACGCCTCTGTCGTCAGCTGCCCTGTCCATACCCGGCTCCTTGGTCGCGGCGGCACGCCCAGCCTTCCGCTGACCTAGAGCAGGATGCGCACTGACGTCCGTCGGCCCAGCCGCGGCGCGCGCATGCTCCCGCCGCCATGCATGTATGGTAGTTGAGTGCTCCGATTTACGCTAGTCCTTCACGCGGGCGTGTCTCATCAGAGGCGTGCGTCCGAGGCCGTGCCGCGGCGCCGCCGGCTGGTCGAGTGGCCCGATCGGCCGGCTGTCGGCGTGCCGCGTGTGTCTGAGTCGGCCGCCTCCTCCCATCTGACCACCACTCGCCACGCCACCGACATCCACAATCTGACCACCACTCGCCACGCCCACCGACATCCACCATCCTCGGCCGACCGACTCCTCCCATCTGACCACCACCACTCGCCACGCCACCGACATCCACAATCCTCAGCGCCGCCCACTTCCAATACCGCCGCGACTAAGGTGACTGGGCTCGCCTCTAATACTGTCAAGCCGACCCCTGGTCCTCTACCTGGTTTCGACAGTCCGTCCTACGTTCCACTGGTGTTCCGCTGGGCACTGGCGAGGGCTAGACTGCGCGCTGGGCCGCAGGACCGCAGCCGCTGTCTTGTGTCCTACCGACCCATGATATGCTTGCAGTTGCGACAATCCAGCTCTCGCCTGTGGCGCTGCAGCGAAGGCCGCCACTGAGCGCTCGGCCGGGGGAGCCGCGCGACCGGGCCGGCGCCGCGCCAGGCTAGGCGGCTCTGGAGAGCCCTATCGCACGGGCAGGCATGTACATACAGAACAGGAACGCATTGAGAATATGTTGGTCCCGTGAGCCTACCAAACACAGGGAGTACAAGGTCTCTCGACTCGGCAACGGCACCATGCCAGCGCGCCCGCACTGCAGAGTACATAACCAGCCATCAGTAGCTACTCGTCAGCTCTGTACAGGTCACACGCAGCGCTTAGTGCCGCTTCCGTTCCGTGCCGTCGGGCCGATGGGTGGCGGACCGGACCGGCGCAGACCACACTGGTCCGCCGGCGAATGGTCTCTGGTCCGCCGGCGAATGGTCTCTGGTCCGCCGGCCGGCCGGCTCCTGCGCACACGCCACCTTCCATAACAACGCAACACTACAATTGTAACGCGCAACAGTCCCGGCCGGACGAGGCAACCTCATGGTGATAAACGCTTGTAACAAACAAGTACGAACCGCACTAGTCAGCTGGCCGCCCCGAGCTGCGCGTCTCTCGGGCCGAGTCAGCGGGGCCCCGTGCGTGCGCTGTCGGTTGGCACTGGCCCGCGCCGGGCGGCGGCTGCCCCGCCCCGCCGCCGCCCGGCCGCAGGGCAATTCGGGATTCAGTACATTGCGCGGCCATCCCACAAGAAACGTATCGAGTGCAAGACACTGCGGCGAAAACGAGTCATTGCTCTGTAAATATTAAATAAGCAGCATGTAAGTACTACGCTGAAGTTCTGACTTGTGGAAATTGCACATGTGTGAAAAACAGAGCACTGCTATAGTTCGTTTTTCTTAGTTGACCCTTACTGTAACCGTCTCAGTTTGAACACAGCACGAGAATCGGTAGCTGAATTACTGAGAAAGCTGGTTTGCGCACATTTATTTCGCTGACAATCAACTGAAACAAAATTATTTCTAACTGGCTTTTATCACAGACTAGCAAGGCCATATTTACAACCCCAGAAGGACAGAGGACTTGTAAGGAATAATAACTAAACTAATTAACGAATCGCACGGCGTGTAACATAACAGTACATCATCGGCGTTTACTATTTATTTTGAAAGTGTTATTTCATATCTCCGATGTAATGTGTGCTAATCAGTTTTCTCAGTAATTCAGCTAGCAATTCTTGTACTGTGTTCTAAAAGATGTTTTCAGTGAGGGTCGAACTTGAAAGAAAACGAACTATAGGTGGAAAATAAGCGCTTCATGACTAGACTTTACCTCCACTGGATCACAGAGATCGACATATACGATGAAGTACAAAAACGAAAACCAAATACATAGCAGAAACGTTAACAATAATTTGCACAATCGTAAATATGGCCCACAACTTCAAATAAAGCTACTCCTATGTTGCATTTAGAAGAATGAACATAGACTTACGATGTAAAAAATGCTTGACTACCCGGTATGCTGAGAGCGCAGCTGACCTCGCAAACATCATTGTACATAGTCTGGGAAAGATAAGCTCGGTTCATCTCCTAAGAAGTAAAATCGCTGTCAGCTGCAAAGTACCAGTCGTGGTAAGCACGTCCTCCCATCCGTGTTGCGCTGCACTGCATGCGCCGGCGCCACAGCACAGCGCGCAGCAGGGCCGCGCCTCCCGGCTCCCGGCTCCCGGCCAGCGCGCGCCTCCCGGATCCCGGATCCCGGCTCCCGGCCAGCGCCGCCGGCAGCCGGCCTTGCGCTGCATCACCGCAGGAGCCTTCGAGTCGACCCGGGTATCAGTATCCGGTGGCGAGACCGCAGAGTCGTGCTCCCCGCTACTGCCAGCACCTACAATAAATACTAAATAAATAGTTTCTGGCTGCACCGGCCGCCGATGGTGTGACCAGCCTCGCACGCCCAGTTGCGCCAGTCGGCGGTCGGCGGTCACGGCGGGCACGGGTCGGTGGGTGGCTGCCGGCTCGGCCACTGCCGAGCAGGGCGCAGTGGTGGCTGAGCCGCGCGCCGCTCCGACACCATCGGGACGCCTGCAACAGAGCGGGGGCGGGACTCAGATCGGCGCCGGCGCACCACGCAGCGTCTCGGCGGGCCGCCTCTGCAGCCGGCTGTGTGAGCCGCTCGGCCGCGCTCGTCAGACGCCGTCTGGCGCCCGCCAGTGAACACGATCCCAGGCTGCCCTTGTGCTGGAAATAGACCGCGAACTACTGTACATTTCCGACCAATGCCTGGGAGCGGCCGAGCGCGATCAGTGGTCTGCCCACAGCCACGGCCGACACCAACGGTTCGTCAGTCGCTGACGAAGGAAGGTGTTTCAATCGTGAGCCATGCCTCACCGTCACTGACTGGAAAACTATGTAACTATCTATGTAACTGGAAACATAGACAGCAGCGTAACACACCTGTATCAACAAATTGGCCACCCAGGAAGCACGCAACACGAGTCGGAGGTCCGCAAAGGTACTCTACGGGTGGACCCTGCCTCCCGTAGAGGGGGTGGGGGTGCGGGTGGAGAGTCGGCATATTCTTATTAGTGTTTAGACCTTCTAAGAAATATATAGGTTGTAACATCGAGCAAAAGGCTTGCTATCGAAAATCATCGATAAAACATTGTTTATCTTTCTAATACATATGTTGCTAAATGAGGTAGGAAATGAGTCCAGGCCAGGTCACTAAGGATTATAATATGAACCCCTACAATATGATACTTGGGTTCTATGATAACTGTTTTATGGTCAATTTTACAATCTAAATACAATGATGTAGGTTAGCCGCCCATTGGGGCGTCTTTACGTAACGTTCTGCTAAATCAGTCAGGTCAGGTCAACAAGGTGACATTTTCAAAGTATATAAATAACAGTTTAACTCGAATCAAAACTATACATATATGTGTATATGTTGGGAGCAGGTTTTGTTTAAGACATGTTTCATTAAATATGACAGCATATCTGGCATTTATTTCTTTCTTATTCAAGTTCTCGATTCTTCGGGCGAGCTGTTTGCCATCATTAGAGAGATTGTTTAACAATGTGCCTATATTGGGTAACGTTTCATTGGGTCTTCAAACATCATCAGACATAGACACAACTAAGTATAAAAGTAATATGCAAAACATTCGTTTTACATTCGGAGATTCCCACTCCAGCGTATGAAACTGCTAAGCAGCTCAACTCTCTCATATCACCTTCACCGTTCCGTGCTTCTATCCTCAGGATACTGAAATCCTTCTCCTCCACGCCGCAACCCCCCTCCGGGCTGGACAGGCAACTTTATCTCATGCGGGCTGCTCCCTTGGAGCGGCACCGCTGCTCCCGAGGGAGCGCACCCCGTAGCCGGGTGCAGAGTGCCTTGGGGCTGGGTGGCCTGTCCTCTGGACGGGCTCAGCCCCGGCGACTCACTAGGGTGCCTGCCCAGACCAATGTCTCCCCCTATATTCTATCATCCTGATGGCTCTGGCTCTGAAATGGTCTCATTGGACCGAAAGGGCCTAACCCAACAAAACAAAACAAACATATCACCTTACATTCCCAAAACCTTTTTCACTCAAGTCTTCTGATGAGTTCCTTGAGGTGTTAAAAGTCAGAGAAAGGAAAGGCATTTTGGCCTCCCTCGATGCTTCATCTCTGTTCACAAATGTCTCTGTCGATGAGACCATTGTCATTATTCTTCGATTTGTGTACGACAATGACTCCATCCCAGCTCCACGAATCCCCAAAAAGGCACTCAAGACACTTCCACAGATCTGTACTAAAGATCCCTTCCGATGTCCCGAGGGTCAATTGTACCGTCAAGTAGATGGGGTGGCAATGGGCTCGCCGCTCGGCGTGCTGTTCGCTGAAGCCTACTACAAGGCACGTATCGAGTCACTGGCGATAGAAGGGATGGATGTGAAGCCGTTCACTTACTGCCGATACATTGACGATATTTTTGTAGACATCCAAAACGAACCACAGCTTCTCTGTCTAAAAGCAAAGCTTGAAGACATATCAGTTCCGTCGTGAAAACGGCCATTATGTAGCAAGAAAAGGGGCAAAATGAGAAACAGGCTTGCCAAAAGTGGCCACGACGCCCTGCTCCTGCAGGTTTCGTAACTTGTTTAAAAAGGGTTTCTGCCTTTCGAGAACATTAAAAATAAATAGCATCATTGGTTTGGTAAAAAAAAAAAAACGCTGGGACCTCTTGGCTCTTACCGATCCTGGGCGTCTTACACGGATCTCCCCTATTGGTAAGGTTAAGTGAACGACCTGACCTCATGCGACCTTTAGGAAAAATCCGAGATATACAGGGTGTCCCATAAGTTCATTCTCACCTTATATTTGCATATAAAACAGAGTGCATTGCGTTTTGATATGTTTATGACCCCTCAATGTGCTCCCCATATCATAGGCAAACACATGAATACATGCTGCGGCATGCCAACCGGCATGTTTGGCAGCATAGCAGGCTTAAAGTTAGCCCAGACTGACTTGACATGCGCCGTGAGCTCCTCGAGGCTGGAACAGTGCTTCGCTTCGACGAGCCTCGATTTCAATATTTCCAACACATTTTTATGAAATTTGGATCCGATGAGTTGCCTGGGATGTAATCTTGCCACAGACGCCTATCACAGTCTCCTGACACTGCTTTTAAGCTTTGCTTGACCTCTGCACTGATGCACTGTCTTGCTTGAAGATGGGCCTACGACCTCCCGGATGCCATTTTTTCCTAAAAAAAATATGTTCATACTTGCGGTTCGAGTTAAGCTAAAAGGCTGAAACTCCTCCTAGATATTCTTGGAGAAGCATTTTGCGTCCCAACAGTGTTTCTGGTAGTGGTGTCAATCGGAACTTGAATCTTCGGAATTCCGATTTTGTCCAATGTCCAATTTGGAATTCGGTTGGACAATGGCAGCAGGCTTTGGACAACTTTGGACAATTGCTTGCTACACCTCAACATTTTTCAAAAGTAGTCGTGTTTAACATTGATTGGCTATTAGAAAGCTCAGCTTTCGATATGATTAAGACTTTTGAGCTTGTAACGGTACATGAAAAGCAAATTAAGTAACAGTGTTGAGTGTAAACTATTGCGTAGGTGTCGGATATCTTTGGACAAATGGCTGGCTTGGACATTTTTGGACGGACGGTCGACGTAAGCATTGGACATTGGACCGTCTTTGGACATACGTTTTCTGAAATTGACACCACTAGTTTCTGGAAAATCAATCGCAACCTGCTCAGCGTCTGGACGCATATTACCCCACATTACCGTGACCCTGGCCTTTTGCATAGGAATAAAGCGGGATGACACGAAGGCCCTTTCCGTCGCCCACATGGGACCGTTTTGGGGTTTGGACGGGTGTTTTATCTCGAACACGGACTAGGTAGTCCAGATAACCACATTGATGTCATCGGCCCGCCAGTTTTTTAGCCTCAGGCATAACGAAACAAATGTTAGGCCATTTTAACCCTCGCATGTGTGCGGCGTTTGCCAGCTTCTAATGTGTAGGGGGGGGGGTCGGTTCGACCCCCCCCCCTTGCCGTTTGGCCCCTGATCGAGCTAGAGCTTCGCGGAAAAAACGAGCGTGTTTCCCGTGACGAGAGGAAGCCGATGATACCCGATTTTAAGGTCCTAGGTCATTGGTTGACCTTCCAGGTCAGGTCAATGACCCGAAGTCGGGAAAATCGGGACCTGTTAGAAAGTCGTAAAGTGTGGCTGCTAAGGGTTTTTTCGGGGTGCTGATCACGAATATTGTGTTAGTTTTGATCACAGATGATGTTTTTAAGCATTTAGACCAGGTCGGGTCAGGTCAGGTCAGGTCAACCAGTAGGCGTCGGGACGGGTATTCGTAGTACGTGTCAACTGCCTCTGACAGCTTCGTAACATGTTACGAAGGCACCAAAACTACTTCGTAAATGTTCAAATGGTTGCTAAATTCGAATTCAGCTCCAAAAACTAGCCTAGAAACATGTAAAACTCGAAAAAGTGAACCGAGGTCACCCGAGGTCACCAAAGGTCAATGACCTGACCTGACCTTCAGGTGACCTTGACACCCACCCTAATGTATGGGAGCAACATCAGATCACATGTTTGAACGTTTGAAACCACGAAAAGCTTGCAAACGCGCGGCTAATGCGAGCCGACATACGCAAAATCGCGATTCCGGCCAAACATGGTCTCGGGAAAGATGAAGTGGGTTCGTCTCGAGTCGGTATTTATGCTTAATCGTTCGTTAAATTATCATAGTCATGTAAAATGCTTTTCACACGATCGTTATATATTCCAGAATGTCAAACTCCATTTTCCACGAGATCACCAGCCGCATTCATTTTCTTTAACATCACGCGGCCTATTTTCTCACATGCATCTTACTACGGGGATGCAAGTCAATATCGAACCCATTACATTATCCCCCACGGACAAAAGTTTCCGTCCCGGAAACAAAAATGGCTTGAGACAAGAAAAATGGCATACACAGAACACACATAGCATACTCGTACACAAACAGAGGCAAACTAACGTGGTATAGGGCCATCACTTGTCTGTGCGGCGTATGACAGGCACAAGTGGCCACTAAAGCCTGTCTGGTTGCCGAATCAAGCGGCCTGACCGAGTTCGTGACAGATGTGACACCCCTGGAGTTGGCCTCCCAATTGTCTGCTGCCGGGATGGGTTTATGTCGGCCGTGCTCGCTAGTAGGTCCCTCGTGGGACGCGGGATCGTTCACGGTCTGGTCGCCAGTCAAGGCACGGCCGTTCCCTCTGAGGTGACACTGGGGTGCTGGATCCTGTCGCTGAGTAACCGGAGGCTGACTGCGGCAAAACACCCGGGTTGGGTAAACCGGGGTAGCCCCGTGGGGATGCTCTGGACGGCGCGCATGGCACGGCTTAAGTCGATTATGGTGCACCGTCATTTGCGTCACGCCCTCCTCACGCACTATCCTGTACGTCCAGTTCCGTCGTTTTTCCACCACTCTGTACGGTCCGGTCCATCGGGAAGAGAGCTTTCTCGCTTCTCCTGCCTTAACTGAATTCTGACGCAGCCATACGAGGTC